TACACAACAGGTTTGAGCACGCCCTTTTTGGATCAGCTTCTATGGATCAGTAAGTTGACCGCAAAGGAACATAGAGATCAGCTAGTTCCTCATTTTCAGTTCCCTTGCTCGATAAACTGGTATGATCGGACATAAGAGCACCGGCCACAAAAAGTTTGATCATTTCATGTTTGGTATATCTTTACTCGTAGTCCGTCATTTTGCCTCTATCGCCAAGAATGTACACTGTTTTGATCAATTACCCTACAGGTTTCAATAAAGCCAAGCATTCGAAGGCTCCCAGGCTTCGCAAGAAATCCTTCTCGAATAACAGATCGATAATTGCTATGCAAAAGCCAGCACAGTATGCTAATTGGTCCTATAATTCCCTAAAGAGTTGTATTCTCTCTCTCAATCAATCTTGACAAGCTACCTGAAAAGCGACTTTGTTGAGTCATATATAATGAAATCGGCCTCTTGTAAAAAACGAAGTTAAGCCACTGACCCGTGATATTATGTGATATGCGAAGCGTTAGATCACTACCCCTCTGTCCTCCATACCCAGTATAAACTCGAAAATTATTACTTTCTTGGAAAAAGGCACCGTCATTTATGCTACCATATCGAATTCAGAGATGAAGGCACGGATCTGCTGTCCTAGTTTCCACGACAAACTCCTCACTTTATTCACTACTTGATAATCCGTAAGTCGATAGGTGGCGAAACAATTCGCAGGCTGAGCCGTGTGTCAAATAGCCAGACGATGAAGCAGATTGTTTCGGTGGCTTTGAAATGGCCAGGCAGTGGACGGTCACGATACCGGAGGTGACTTTTATGGGGAAAAATAGGTTACTGTGGTCTCTAAATTAAGTTCGTCTGCAGGGAGCTAATATGGTAATGATTCGCTGAGATGAAACCAGATTCCGTTAGCACTTTACTCGACTACACAGATGAGGGCTTCGTAAGTTCCTCCAGATTCGATAGGCAACATCCCTAGTGGCAAGTCTGCCCGGAATCCATAATGGAATCTTACCGGAAAAGTCCGGATAGTATGCCGGATTTTATAGCAGATATTAGTCAGAATGTCTGCATGGATTCCGTATCAGAAAATTCCGGATGCCCCATCATACGTCGATAGAGGTAGGACAAACCTTCTTTCGAGTCATGGTCTCTATTACATGCCTGCGCTGCATGCGTTCGAACCTCCTGGCAGTAATCCCTTCCACTTATAGTAAAAAGAAAAGCTAGTATATTGTCGTATTAATTTTTTTTCCGTTTATTAAAATAAAAAGATAGTATGCAAGACGTCTATGGCCTGATTGACCGAGGTTATTGCGGCGGACGGGATGGCACCGGTTCTTCGTCTAAAAGAATGCAATATGTTAGTGTTATGTAAAGGGTCTTTACCGTCATAGGTTATTGTGGAGTCCTCCCGCGCCCTACGCTATATTTTGGCATCCAAGATACGCCTAAAGCGTCCTATTGATGCCGTTTCTAGTTGCCGTATGTTAGGTCGCAGGTCATGAAACTATAGACTGTAAACATCTGTTTAAGAAATAATCAATGAATGTTAGGCAATTTACTGGAAATGGCCTCATATAGCCGGGAGCTATACAGAGCCTCCTTTTCTATCAAACCGCGAAAATTGGTGTGTTCTGTAATGTCGTCCTCGAAGAGATCGTGGAACACCCGGCGGATGAGTTTCTCGAGGTTCCGATCTCCAATGCATCTCAGGAAACTGACCTGAAGTCGTGTAGTTATACCATATTATTAACTTACCAACTGACGGCGGACGTCATCGTCTTCCAAGTTGTTATTAACTTACATGAAATCTCCCCTGCTTAGAATGGCCCCTCCAGGGGATTGTGGGGAAGTCCTTCGCACCATCAGCTGAAGGCATTTGCCGTTCAGCTACCACTTGTTCGGTAGTGCGAGGGCGCATGTGAAGGTCTTTCCCCACCCGCACCAGATAAAGCATAGATTTTCTGAAATCCCTACGCATGGCTTGCACCAGGTCCACCAAGTGGCGAACGTCCTGGTTGGAGGAGGGAAGCCGTGCAGGCAAATCCTCGATGGACTCCGTATCTTCTCTGGAATTGTCCTCCTCCTATGCAGCCACTGCGAAGTTAAAGTTATAACTTACCTCAGGTTTAGTAGCCACTCGATGGACTTCTACTTGGCTATTTTTTATCGTTGTGGCCGACGCAAGCCGTGGTCGCTGACGTCGTCCACAGCCATTGACATCTGTAAAGCATCACAGTAAAACAATGTTAAGAGGGGCAGGCATTAAGTTAGTGTTTAAAGCATGCACATGCCACTAAATGTATGAGGAGCAAACAATTTGGCAAGTGGTAGGCAGCCGATAGCGGTCGCTGCATATACCCCAATGCACTATTTCCCTAAGCCTGTGTTAGTCCCGCCTCCCAGTCTACTTTCTTACCTGCTAGGCTATTTTGCTCTTTTACAAATTAAGTCACCAACAATACTGTTTAGAGCCTACGTAAAGGCCGTGGATGCGGCGATCAAGTCAAATCAGTGGACTAAAGCCGCGGAAGTGTTGGAAAGCATTGAGGAGTCGAAGGCGGATGAAGTGGTACCCTACTACCTGGAGATAGCCAAACACTACGCAAGAAGCCGAGAATACTCCCGTGCAGAGTCGGCCTTCTTGAAGGCGCGGGCACCAAAGGAGGCCATCGAGATGTACACCAGCGCAGGCATGTGGGAACAGGCCCACGCTCTGGCCTCCGAAAGCATGGACCCGAGTGATCTGACCGAGCAAGTTCCTTTTCCCCACTCCTTCCATTAGTCCATCCTACCTTTTAATCCCTCTATAGTGATTAATTTTTCGTTTATGGAGGCCGTCATCGTGATTTCGTAGAGAAATGCGAAATTAGCCGTGTCTTCGGCTGCTCCAAGTAGCAGTGCTAGTGCTGGTTCATTTTGGGTTCGAAGGCAAATTTGGTGGTTAATCTTAGAAAAAGCTGGAACAGCTTTCCCTGTTCGCATTTTTTCGCGGTGGTTATGCCAAGTGACTGCAAGTAGTTGATAAACCATTAATTACACAGCTACCGAGTCTGTCAACTAAATTTGCCATTTTCATCTTCCCATCAATTTTTACTGTTAATTAAGCTGACAGAAGACTGCGCCACCTACTTGCACATAATGTAACTGCTGTTTTGACATCAGCAGATGCGACCATCTATCTCTCTTGGGGATCTCTGGTGAATTGGTTTTGCGAGCAATTTCAGTCGGATCGTAATCTGTGTCCTTTTTCAAATTCGCATGAGGTTGGTTTGCTGAATCCACAGCACCAGTTTGGCCAAGATTATGATCGTAAATCTAACTTCCGCCCACGAATTAGCAAATGCAAACTCAACAGTTCGACCGTTTTTTTGACGGACAAAAGTTAAGCAGTCCGCATACGCGCGTCACAAACGCCTGGTTCACGCATGGTTGACAAGGTTGTCATGGAAACAGGAAAGGGGCGTCTGAGAGTCCAACTGTCTGGGAATGCCATAGAGGCCACATTGAGAAGGAGCCATTGCAGCCTGAAGCATCGTCCTGAGAGCTATTCTGTCAGTTCAAGCCGCCAAAGCCACGGCTTTTTGCATACCATGATGGATTCAAATGCGACAGAGTATGCGAGGAGTATGCGCTGGGGGCCATTGACTTCATTCTCTCTCTCTCCTTTTTTGCCTGTGCGCAGGTTGATAGTCACAGCTGGTCTACTAGCTGGTGCTGAGAGAGGACGCAGTTGCTGATAAACATAGACGTCTCGTATACGCGTGCCACACACAAGACCTGACTTTCCACACAACCTACTAGGACTTTACTCAAAGGGACTGGGTTGCTCGGATGTCATATGCATGAGAGTGCTACTAGTTCTCGTGTGATAAACTAAACTAAAAAGTGGAAAGTTCCGACTAACTTAATAAAAAAACCGTGGGCAATGCTGAGTTTTTGAGTTGTATCCTATAAATCACTGTCAGCCTAGGTGATATGGAG